CGGTCGCGGCTTCCTCATCGCGTTGGCGAGATCGCGGTAGCAAGGAGACATTCGGTGAGGCTTGTGGGGTGTTTTGTGGCGTTTTGGGAGGTTTTTTGTGTGGTTGTCAGCATGGCTCCAAAGAAAGTAATTTGCTTCGGGTTGCGACCAATTCGGGTTGCGACCAGAGTCACGGAACGGATTAAGTTCGTAACCCGAGGTACCACTGTATAGGATTACACATTTGGATTGTATCTACTGAAGAATTGTTTCAATGTTTTGTGTTGTGTTGTGTTTAGAATCCATTGAAAAAACAATGTTCTTGACTGATCTGGTCTTTCTCAGCCTAGTGCTCCCCAAATGTAAACTCATCCAACAGACACCAAGTTGGGGAAAGGATGAGTTTAATCTCTTTTCTTACTTGAATAAGAATAATTATTAATGAACACAGTGAAGTTTGTTTCTAAATAGACAATTATATTATGGTATTATATTGTTAACGAGACCAGAAAATGGCCAGAAAATACACCAGTGCCAGAGTTTAACTTTTCTTCCTTTAATGAAATAAATTCCCCTTTATTTCAGTTAATCTATTTAATATGTTACGAAGTCTGGAGAGAACTTAAATCTGTTTTACAACAGTTATCCTTAATAAAGTTTGGTCATTCACCATAACTCACCTGAAATTAATTATAGCTAAAACTACACATTTCAGTGCATTCATTTCAGAGTACATCTCACTGAATATGCTGGTACTTTCCAGAAAATAAACATGCTTAGGAATGGACAGCATCTCCACAGAAAGCAAGTCAGTCATAAGTCCATCTTTTTCTTATGTTTCATTAGGAAGACAGTCCAAGACTATTGCATGTTAATGCAGTAATAATCTCACCAACATACTCTTACATAAGGGTATAAGCATGTACACAATGCTTAAATTTAACTGGACTGCAGACAAAAGCTGCAGGAATATATGATTAACCCCTCAAGTGTGATGAGGCTTGAGGTTCTTAAATACTGGTCTCCGAAGCCACATGACAAACTGCATTTAAAATGCAAAAAGACTAAGAATAAATTTGCAAGATGGCAAAGCAATTTGTTGTGTAAAGCAAAAATAATATTTATGTGCATCAACTCCTGGGTGTCTGTAAAATTGTTTGGGATTATGGCTGACACTTCTAAGCATGTTGTGAAGCATAAGCAGAACAGTTTATAGTTAAGCTGTTCACTTTGCAGAAAGTCACAGCTAAGAAAGAGGAGCATGACTTGATTCTTTTGTGAATCATCACAATTGGAAAATAGATATTGTAATGCTATTCCATTTAATGCAAATTAGATCTATTGGAAATTAGTGACTTCTAGAATCTGTGAAAATCTCACACATTTGGCAAAAATGAAATGAGTGCAAAGAACAAGCAGAAGCTCATTTAGTTCTTATTTCTACTGTACAATTAAATGTAATGGTTTGATTTTCAAGTGTTATCTCAAAATAAGCACATGAGCCACTTTGCATAGATGACACAGCTAGCTTTAGAAATAGAGGCAAAGGGGAAGAACTGGTATGAGACAGGGAGACCTATACAGGTGCAACAAAGGGTTTCATATGAATACATGTTTTTCGATGCAAGACTTTCACAACATTTTATAACATTTAGATTTGGACTCTTAGCTAGCTACCATAGACCTTCCTGCCTTTTCTGACCAATCCAGGACCATTAAAAATTATTGAACATACTAGTTGGGTTAGTAGACCAAGTAAGTCTGCTATGTTTTACAGTTTTCTTCTACATACAGATTTCTGACATACCAAATTTCTTATCTAAAACAGAAAAGGCATGTGTCTGGACAGGGACTGCATTTATCATCTAAACTTTATGGAGTAACCAAGGGTAATCATTTCTAATATTTGGAAAGCATTAAAAGAGGAAAGTAGTATCATAAGCACTTCTGATGAAAAAAATGGCAAACCCTGTCTTTTTCAGAGTAACTGGCAGCTAATATTAGTTAAAACATTCCAAATCACAAATGGAAAACACATATCTCCCTGCAAGGAGAGGGAGAGGTTGATATATGAGCTATACCTGAACACTCTGACTTTCTCCAGAAGCTTCAGTGCATTTTCTTGTTGAGTGCATGCTTGAGCTTTCCCTCCCTTCTCAGGTTAAATCTACATAGGTACAGTGTCCATTCCACCAGTGAAGCAGTGGTATGCCTGTTATAATGTGAGTATATCAGCAGCAGATGGCTACTGATAGCAAAATATTTTATGCACTCAACATTTTCATGAGAATGATGGATAATTATACATTTCTTATCAAATGTTACTCTACCCAATATTTATTTTCAGTAACTTTATTTCAGTCTTTTTCCCCTGAGTATTTCAAATATTTTATGTCACAAGGAAAATGCTTAGCAGAGTGCTTACAACAAAGGAAACAATCAATCACATTTCAAAATTTAATACTGCCTATTGTTTCACAGAATTCTTTAAGCCCTGAAAAGGCTGTTCAGTCTGATTGTCTGATGTGTAAGTACTGAGCCTCTATCAAAGAACCGCCTAAGGCCAAATTTAACAAAC